TATATATATGTATATATATGTATGTATATGTATGTGTATGCAATGAAACAAAGTGAAAAATTCAAAGGGGTCTGAATACTTTCCGTACCCACTGTATATATATATATATATGTATATATAATGAGCTATTCAGATTTAAATGACAGAAGGACGGTGACTCATCATTTTATTTGAACTGGTCAGTGCTGGGAAATAGCCCATGTGTTTCATAACTTCAGTATTGACTCTCATAACAGAATATATAAGAATCAAAGACAGCACATGTGATGAGGTGGTGTCGATGGCAGACAGTGGCTGCTGAAATTTAAAAAAAAGAGCTGGACCTGACCTGTATTTCCTGATGAGGTATCTGCAGTGGCGCAGCAGGTACTCCTTTGAGGGCCGACACAGTTTGAGGGACCAGAAGTCGTCCAGGCGCATCTTGGGAGAACAAGACTTCCCGGGGTTTCCACCAAACAAGTAATGCACCTGGACACACGCAGGAAATACACACCGGTTACGATGCGCACCGTACCCGATGCGCACCGGACAAAACAAATGTGCAAAACAAATGTGGCAATAAACAACTTTAAAGCCAGCAGGAAAACAGTTGTGATTGTTTAAACAACTCACTTCTAATAGCATGTTTTTGGGGCTCAGTGGTTCTGACTTTAAAGGCAGCGGTGGGTCAAATTTCAAGCTTATCACAAGACTGTTCAAGTCTCAGCCAAGTCAATCATGGCTTCCTAGTTACGCTGAGGAGCTGAGAAATTAATGTTTTTTACGGGATCTGGTGAAAGCAAAAAGTTTATTGCGGGCAAGACTTTTATAAAATATCACAATTTTAAGCTTTTGTTCTTGGCTGCTTTTATTGACGGAAGCATTCGTCACACATTATGTGTTCAAGGACCGTCAGACAGATGAAAATCTGACAATAGTGACATTTGTACAGCTTCTGGCTGTGATAAACAGCTGTTGATTAAAGAAAACATGTTTTTCAATCTCACTGGCTGGTTTTGGGGTTCAGAGGGTTAAATATTGACAGCTGTGACCAAGAAGGCGATCCAGGTGCAGCTCGCCATTAAAAAGTGCTCTGGAGTGTTCCTCATGAGATCGTGTGCGACAGCGTACTGAATAAGAATGTGCGCAGGTCTCAGCTGTGTGTGTTACCTTGTGCATCTCATCGTAGACCAGCTGGTGTGCAAAGCGTGGACACGGTTCCTCCTCCTGCAGAGCCTTGCTTGGGTTTTCTTTCACTGCCTGGTCGTTCTTGTACACACACGACCTGAGCAGGAACGAGAGAAAACACACACACACACACACACACACACACACACACACACACACACACA